TGAAGAAAGTGACCACGCAACTTACCGACCTATCTTTGCAGACAGCTACGTCCCATCATATTCAGCCTTCAGCTGTGTTCACTGCACGAGTCGTCATTCAAGGTACGATGTACGTCGTCTCATTTGTAGTTTTATTCCGTTCTTCGCATGACGTTATCCTTGTATGGGACTTTCTTTCGTCAAATTCTGCTTTGGTCGACTGTGCTCGTTCCGAACTCGCATTATCTGTGCCGTGCTATGACCCCGACGATGGCGCTTCGTGTAGAGTGTTTGCTGCTTCTGACGTTGACATTGCGCCTTTCTCAGCTGTTGTTGTCTCGGTGTCGTGTGCCTCCCCCCCGAAATCGCCTGTGTTGTTTATGCCATCGGTCCCATCTGCGTGCCGTCGAAATATCATGCTTCCGTTTGCCGTCGTGATTTTTCGCAATGGTCACGCTGCCATTTATGTGTGCAATCCCTCGGACAGCCCGTCATCCTTACTACGTGGAGAATGCCTGGGAAGCTACGAACCTTGCGAGTGCATTCTTCTGGCTACTATACCCGATTCAACGGTTTCGCTCCCAATTTGTGCTGTCACTCCTACCAACGCGCCTAATGATGCTCTGGACGTATTCTCGGATGCCATCGACTCTGAGCTCGCACCAACTCAGCGCGAAGAGATTATAAATCTTCTTCTCCGCTTTCGTTCTTCATTCGATCGTGACCAGTCAGGCTTAAGCCGAACCTCTGCGGTCGTTCACCGTATTGACACCGGTCAACAAGCCCCACTAAGGCAGCGTCCGTACCGTGTGTCATCTGCTGAACGCCGTGTCATCGACGAACAAGTGGACGACATGTTGAAACGTGGCATCATCGAGCCCTCCAACAGTCCCTGGGCTTCACCGGTTGTTCTCGTCAAGAAAAAAGACGGATCCATCCGATTCTGCGTTGACTACCGCCGACTCAACAAGGTAACGCGCAAAGACGTATACCCTCTGCCGCACATCAATGATGCTTTGGACTGCCTACAAGGAGCAGAGTTCTTTCCTTCGTTAGATTTACGCTACGGCTACTGGCAGGTGCCCATGGCAGAGGGTGACCGCCCGAATACAGCTTTTGTAACACCGGATGGACTATATGAATTCACTGTTATGCCCTTTGGCCTCTGCAATGCGCCTGCCACTTTCGAAAGAATGATGGATACCGTCTTGCGAGGTATGAAATGAAAAACGTGCCTCTGTTATTTGGATGACATTGTGGTATTTTCAAGCGACTTTGCGACCCACCTCAGCCGCCTCGAGCAAGTTCTTACGTGCCTTTCAACGGCGAGACTTCAACTTAACTTGAAGAAATGCCACTTCGGCGCTCGCAAGCTTGTAATTCTCGGCCATGTGGTTTCTAAGGACGGCATTCTCCCGGACCCTACGAAACTTAATGCAGTCGCGGCGTTCCCAAAGCCAACCACCGTCAAAGAGCTTCGAAGCTTCATCGGCCTATGTTCTTACTTCAGGCGCTACGTCCACAATTTCGCCTCCATTATCGCCCCCTTGACTAATCTTCTTCCCGGAAGTTCTGATTTGTCAGCGTGGTCGCAGGCGTGTGATGATGCATTTCAGGAACTCCGACGGCTTCTCACCACGCCTCCCATACTCCGACATTTCGATCCATCTGCTCCAACGGAGCTTCATACAGACGCTAGTGGTGTCGGGCTAGGGGCCATACTGGCCCAACGCAAGGATGGCTTTGACGAGTACGTCGTTGCCTATGCCAGCCGCACCCTCAGTAAAGCCGAGAAGAATTACAGTGTAACTGAAAAGGAGTGCCTTGCCATTATTTGGGCAATTGGAAAATTTCGGCCTTATTTATATGGACGTCCGTTTGATATTGTAACGGACCACCATGCGCTTTGCTGGTTATCTTCACTAAAAGATCCTAATGGTCGGCTCGCTCGTTGGGCATTGCGGTTACAGGAGTTCGATATCCGTGTTGTCTACCGTTCTGGCCGTAAGCATTCCGACGCCGATGCCCTGTCACGTTCGCCATTGGCTTCAGAGCCTGTCGGCTCGCCTATCTCCACCAGTGCTGCCTTGGCCATCAGCATTTCGGACATGCCTTCCGAGCAACGCAAAGATGCTTGGATTTCTTCTCTTTTGGACTTGCTCTCAAACCGGACGCCCGCTCCGGTTTCCAGGACGCTTCGCCGTCAAGCAGGACACTTCGCTATTCGGGATAACCTGCTTTACCGCCGAAACTACAGTTCGATGGGTCGTAAGTGGTTGCTCGTCATTCCCCGACATCTGCGCTCTGACATCTGTGCCACGTTCCACGATGATCCGCAATGTGGCCACGCTGGTGTGTTAAAAACATACACTCGCTTGCAGCTGCGGTACTACTGGCGCGGTATGTACCGTTTCGTTCGGTATCAGAAACAGCTGCGCTACCTTCTGCTACCGCAAAAGACGTTGCGTGTTTTATACTGCAAAACTTGGTTATAAGGCATGGAGCACCTCGAGAGTTACTGAGCGACCGCGGCCGCGTTTTTCTCTCCGATGCTATCAAAGCGTTGTTGAGCGAGTGTCGCATCATACACCGCACTACCACAGCCTATCATCCGCAAACTAATGGGATGGCAGAGCGTTTTAATCGTACACTTGGGGATATGCTGGCCAAGTACGCTTCATCCGACCAGTCAAATTGGGATAGCATACTGCCTTTTGTGACATATGCTTACAACACTGCAACGCAAAGCACCACTGGATTTTCGCCTTTCTTTCTTCTTTATGGACGCGAGCCATCATCAACAATGGATACTATTCTTCCTTATCGACCGGACCCTTCAGAGATGACTACCGTTTCTCGAGCAGCAGCACACGCTGAAGAATGTCGGAAGCTTGCTCGTGCGTTCACGTCACATGACCAGACGCGCCAAAAACATCGCCACGACGCATCAGCCACGCCTATGAGCTTTGCACCGAACTCACTGGTGTGGTTATGGATCCCTTCTACTCCTCCAGGACTCTCCCACAAGCTTTCGTCCAGGTACTATGGCCCTTATCGAGTTATACGCCAAACATCCCCTGTCAACTACCTGGTCGAGCCGCTGGATGCATCTCCGGACAAGCGCCGTCGGGGACAAGAAATTGTACACATTTCTCGGCTCAAGCCATACCATGACCCTTCTGTTTACACCTGTCCTTAGGTCGCCAGGATGGCTCCCTCATCGCCCGGGGCTGATTGTAATGAGGGCAGTGGGCATGGAGCTCGAAGAGAGAAAAGAAAGAAGACTTGCTGTGATCGCAGGCTTGCGTTCAGTTAGCCCTTGCGCTCAATAAAGCTTTCGTTCGCCGAGTCAACTCCTGCTGGTTCAATACCCCGTTTCAAACGTTAATCTGCGCGTTCGACCAGAGTCATGAAACGAAACTCCACCAAATTTTCGTGAGATAAACACTGGTCAAACCAGTTCTTTTACCGCATACTTTCATTCTCTTGCCATACAAGCCATAAGGCGGCAATAAACGAGTGGCGATACACAAGATATGCAACTTGGACGCATGTGTTTCAGTTTCAGGAACAGCCGCAGTTTGCAAAGTGATGGACATGTTCGACATAAACTCAGTATGCAGTGAAGTTGTGTTTTTGATGACTACAGTAGTCATTTGATCGAATAATACTAAATACTACAATTACCCTGCTTGTCACGGGGTCCTTGAGAAAATTAAGACACACAGCACGTCGGGACTGGCTATAACGGCCAATTTTTTTAGTTACTAAAGGAAACAAGGCAAATGGTTCATATATCATGTCTTGATAGAGTGGAACATAATCTTCACCTTTGGCTTTGGCCCCCTTGACACCCAGTTTTTTTTTTTTAATTTCTGTGACAAATAAGGCACAAACAAGAAGTTGTGTGTACAGTAGTTTTTGTGGGAAGGTATCAGCGCTTCTTAAAGCAATTAGCGGGCTAACGGGGCTAGTCAGTACGTAGTCGTGGTTTTATTTTAAGTATTACGCCTCAATTACAAAAACCCAAAATTTGTGAACTAAAATAAGACGACCGAGTCAAGCATGTGTACAGTTGTTCGCTTATTTTGGTGCCATTGCGCCCGTTAATAGGGATAAGTGAAATTCAGTCTTTTACGCCTTTGTACTACTAGCTGCTGCCTTCGATTGCAGCAATGCCAGATGCAAGGGCTTGGTACGCTGTGCCTACTCATAAAATACGACGTTTCAGCAACCTAAAAACTACACACTGTAGACACCTCGGATCAGCACATGCAGAGTTTTACTGCGCCCTCCTCAAGTGCTTACCAGTTGTGCATTACGAGATATAGTCATTTCTACAGCAAAACGCAGAATTCAAGAAACCATAATGCAATCAGCTGCGACAGTCGTAGCGGTCACGCAATTTGAGTAAACCTCATCTCACTCTGCTAAATTAACACCCAGTGCAACTTGTTTCAAATGCCCAGCAGAATCAAGGCCAGCTGCTGCTGACGCCTATTCAGGCGAAAACAAGTGATATAATGTTTATCGCATTGTTTCTGATATAGGGAACTCCTATAGAATATACACAATCCAGTGACACCAATTTGGTGGACATGCGGGTATAAAGAACGTGAGAGAATTGCAAGAAGCTCGGTAATGGATCCTTATAAGGGCACTTTCTCAGCGTTGATATGATATATTAATAAAGTACATGCACATTACAATTGTCGTGAGATTTCTAAGCTCTCAAGTGGTGCATCCTACAATATTTTCAGACATGAAAGGAGAAATACACGCAGTAGTGTTATATACAATAAACTGATAACAAATTACATCTTAGGTACATATTTTCGGCCACTTTTATTGATCAGAATTGATTTTCAGAAAATTTGGAGAACCGATAACACGGCTCGATTGGCATAAAAGAAAAACAGTGCTCAATCGCTTTTGGGTCATTATTGATATGTGTACTTGTGACGTGGGGCATTGAACATATTTGTGAACATCACGTTGGTCACCTGATTTTCTCATTTCAGATATGGTTCCGTTCAGTGTTGAAACATTGTTATATGAAACACACAATAATTCTTGTGGCGTTGTGAAAATGGAAATATTGACTGGTGGTATGTTTCTGTTTTCTTTCCTTGTTGTTTGCACAGGTATCTTCATTTATAATAACGTTATTACTATACTTATTCGCCATATATATATATATATATATATATATATGATTCAAAAAAAAATTATGTGGGTCCAGTGCAAATATGATTAGAAATAAAGGAGCACACTTACGAAAATTTGATAATTGTTCACTCTACGTTTCGGCCGTGGCACGGCCTTCGTCAGGATAGGCACAGCCTTCGTCAGGATCCTGACGAAGGCCGTGCCACGGCCGAAACGTAGAGTCAACAATTATCAAATTTTCGTAAGTGCGCTCCTTTATTCGTAAAAATATATATATATATATATATATATATATATATATATATATATATATATATATATATATATATATATATATATATACTCAGAACTGTTATTTGAGACCAGATAGAAGCGTAGGCGCCCAGTCAGCGAAAACAGCAACACCGAGTGCCTTGTGCTTAGTGCTAACGATGTGTTTGCCGAGTTTTGCATGACCCACTACTTCTTCATTACATATTTCCCCCTCGCTGAAGATGGAGCCGAATAGGTGTTCTAAAGTGTCGTGAGGACAAGTGCTTTGTGATGCGGTTTGAGGCGATCCACATGCACGATTTCGCGGCCTCGGCGACGCAGGTCCGCAGTGGACGGGAGGGATTCGATGAGGTAGTTGACCGCGGAAGTTTGCTCAACAACGTGGTGCAAGGTACCTGCTGACGAACTGTATGGCGGCACTATGAGCAGAAGTCAGTAGAACCCACAGAAAAACAAGGGAGTTGGGCCTTCCAGACATTCTTCTGCATACCGAGCGGCTTCGGAAGCCGGTGTGCCTTCTGATGAGTCGGGTCAGTAGGGCAGAATGGTGTCGATTGGAGATGATGGATGTCGACCATAGAGTAAGAATAAGGTACAAAAGCCTGTTGTCGCTTGAGGTGTCGTGTTTTAAGCGTACGTTACGTAGGGAGGAATAAGATCCCAGTTGGCGTTGTCGGAGGCGACATACATAGAAAGCATGTCGCCAAGAGTGCGGTTGAAACGTTTGGTCAGACCATTTGTTTGTGGGCGATACGCGGTAGTACAGCGGTGAATCACATGGCATTCAGCGAGAAGTTCTTGAATAACATCCGCAAGAAAGACGCGGCCTCGGTCGCTCAAAAGTTCATGAGGAGCGCCATGACGCAGAACAATACGTTGCGGCAGGAAGACTCAACGTCACGTGCCGTCTCGGCTGGTATAGCGGCCGTTTCTGCATATCTCGTGATGTGGTCACACTGGGCGCGGTAACGGCTACATTGGTGCAGTCGGGTGGGTAAGATCGTGCTTGCGGCGTTAGCACTCTGTGCAAGATCGAATGTACTTTTGAACAAATGTGTACATGCCATGCCAATAAAACTGAAAATGTACCCTTGTGTTGGTTTTTAACAAACCGGCGTGTGTACACTGCTGATAAGCATGGAAAGCAGCACATATGCTGGCCTGGAGATGCCTGGGTATTGCGAGTAGCCATTTGGGGCCGTCAGGCTGGTAGTTGAGGTGATAAAGGATTCCATCACGGATGGCGTAGAGAGACGCTTGTTGGTGTAGCGCTCGAGATGGCGGGCGGGCGAGTGTTTCAGGTAGGTAATCCATCAGAGACACAATCCATGAAACTTTGCGCTGCTCCGAAGCCATGTCGACGGGTTCTTAAAGTGGATGTAAGTTGTCTTGGATGGATACACTCGCAATATCAGTATGAACAGGCGGATGCGAAAGAGCACCGGCAACAGCGTGCATCTCGCCTGAGCGATAAATGACACGCATGTCGTACTTTTGGAGCCGTAAAGCCCATCGCGCCAGGCATCCGCAGGAATTCTTGAGGGAGGATAACGAGCAGAGCGCGTGGTGACCGGTAACAACATCGAAAGGGTGGCCTTACAGATAAGGTCGGAACTTTGTAATGGCCCAGATGATTGCTAGGCGTTCGTTTTTAGTTACCAAATTATTTTCTTCTGATATTGTAAGAGTGCGGCTCACGTACGCAACAACCTATTTTTGGTAGCCAGGCTTTCGTTCGGCGAGTGCAGCACCAAGACCGGTACCACTAGCATCCCTGTGGATTTTGTGGAAGCGCTTGAATCAAAATGACGAAGTTTGGGTGGTGTTGAAGTAGTTCACAAAGCTTCGCAAAGGCACTGTCGCAGGCTGGAGACCACGCGGATAGATTGCGGTCCCCCTCAAGCAGGTCTGTCAGAGGTGCCATGATAGAGACGAAATTATGGACGAAGCGGCGGAAGTATGAGCAAAGCACAATGAAACTACGCAGCTCCTCAAGAGACGTGGGCTTCGGGAACTTGCGAACAGCACGTAGCTTAGCGGGGTCAGGGAGAACGCCGTCTTTCGACACGACGTATGTCCGAGAATGGTACGCTTGCGTGCTCCTAAGTGACACTTCTTTGAGTTTAGTTGGAAGCTTGCTGCAGAGAGGCAGCGTAGAACCTCTTCCAATCAAAAAATGTGCGTTGGAAAAGCGGGCAAAAATATCACCATATCATCTAAGTATACAAACACGTGGCTCATTTGAGGCCTCGTAGAATAGTGTTCATCATGCATTCAAATGTTACCGGTGCATTTCATAGGCCGAATGGCATCACGTTAAATTCGTATAAGCCGTCTGGTGTAAAAAAAGCAGTTTTTGGCCTATCATCCGGATTCACGGGCACTTGCGAATACCCAGAGCGTAGATCAAGGGCGGAAAAGAACTCTGCGCTTTGTAAAGAATCAAGGGCGTCATCGATCTGAGGCAAGTGATAAACATCCTTTTGTGTTATTTTGTTTAGATGACGATAATCTACGCACAAGCGTATCGTGCCATCCTTCTTTTTAACTAACACAACCGGCGATGCCCAAGGACTGTTTGGTAGTTAAACGACACCGTGCTTTAGCCTGTCACCTACTTGTTCATGGATGACACGGCGTTTAGTCGGCTAAACACATAATGATCGCTGGCGTAGTGGTAGGTGATTACCTGTGTCGATCTGGTGGCATACAGTAGACATTCGACCTAAAGTAACGCTGTGGCTGTCAAAAGATGGCTGAAACGTGTCAAGGAGGCTCAAAAGCTTACACCGCTGTTGTGGCTTTAGGCCTTCGTCCGTGACACCGTTGAAAATAACGGCAGTGGAAGGGCCATGCACGAAATTAAAGGAGAGGGTGCTGATTTCCAATGATCCATCAGGAACGTCAAGTGTAGCGATGGTTTCTAAATATTCTATTGAGCCGATACATTCGCCCCGAAGGAGCATGATCGTGAATGGGAACGGATTTCCCACAAGCACGTTTGTTGCACCACCTTAAAGATTAACCTCAGTGGTTGGGAGCACTGATAGGTGGCGATGAACGAAAGCAGCGAAAGGCGCGACCAATGCGGTAGCGTCGAAAGCGGCGGAACACGACACAGGTGCGAAGACAGTAGCGCGCGGAAGGATCTGGGTGTCGGTACTAATGACCAACTTCACATAGAAAGAGTGATCGTCCGCAGGTAGGGCATCACCAAGGGGACAAAAAACTACATCGGCACGGGCGCCATCAATAACGGCTTGGTGATGGGAGGGCAAATCCCAACTTAAAATGATGTGAGAACAGTGCGAGAGTACTACGAACAGCACTGGTAGGGCACTCCTTTAATTGCAAGTCTGGTGGTACACGCGGCCACAGGCTGCACAAGCTGTGCAGTGGCAATATGAAAAAACGAATCAAAGTACGGCGTCGTCACTTTTCGAATTGAAGGAAACGTTTTCCGTGATGAAAGAAATGGCACCACTAGTATCAATAAAGGCAAGTACAGGTACACCTTCAAGGATTAAATTAATTACATTCGGTGGCAAAAGAAGAGGGCTTGTGTTTTGCGACGACGACGCAGTTCTTGTCTCGGGAACTGTGTCATTTAGTATTCCGCGCCGATTGCAGAGGGACGTCGGCGCATCGGGGAGGGTGAGCGACGACGTTGAGAAAGACATCGGCCATCAGAAGCTAGTGAATGGCTTGGTCGAGGAGGGTGCAATTCGGGGTTTAAAGTGTAGGGAAACATGTGGTCATACTCATATTGATGTGGGTTTTCACCCGAGTGGAGTGGTCGGCAGCGGCACCGACGCTTGACGTGTCCGGGTAGACAACACGAAAAGCAGATCGGTCGGTTGTCGGCAGTGCGCCATGGATTAGGGACTCGGTGGACTGGAGGTCATGGCGGCTGGGCGGCATAAACAGGAGCAGGCAGTGGAGGCGGCACTCGGATCGTCTTTGGTCATGGTCGTGCTGCTGCTTCGGCGTACGCTAATAGTGCATTGACTGGTTGCTTCAGCTGCAAAGGAAGGACCTTAGAGACTTGGTCTTGTATAATAGTTCGTAGTGTAGGACTAGGCGCACTACGCTCTGGTAGGCCGGAGATGAGAGTTGGCGGGCAACTTTTTCGCGCACAAAATCATTGATCTGAAAGAGGAGGACGGATTCTTGCGATGAAGTAAAGCCGGACATTGATTCCTGATGTGTAACAGCACGGCGAGTGACGATACATTGCCGGCAGAGCTCATCATAGCTTTTGCAGAGCTCGGTAACTTGAGCGACAGTAGCCGGACGTTTTGAAATTAGCATCTTGAATGCGTCCTCGCCGATACCCTTAAAAAATGCTTCATGTGGTCCACCTCTGCCATGTTCGCATCAACGCGTTTGCACAAGTCAATGACGTCCTCTATGTAACTGGCGAAATTCTCATCAGGCAGTTGAGATCTTGACTGAAGGCACTGCTCCACACAAATTTGGCGGACAGCAGGACGACCTAAGACTTCACTGAACTTGTCTTGAATGCTGTACAGTTTGGAACGTCGGTTTCTTAGTTCCGAAGCCACAAGTGGGCAATGTCACTGAAGTAAATGCCGATGGTGGCCAGTCTCATGGCTTCATCCCATTGGTTCAAGACACTCACGAGTTCTTAGGTAGCCAGCCAGTC